TGTTGAGAATGCGTTCGATCTCCGTAATAGCGATGGTTCGCTCGATGGAACCGGGCTTGTTCGGGTCAACCATGATAAACGGTTTTTGAAGAGGCAGATGTGTTATGTCAAAAAAAAAAAATCTCTTGTATAATGGTGACCGAAAAGGCGTAGGAAGCCAACGAAAGATAACGGGAGCATCCAGCAGGGCCACGAGGTGGGGAGCCGAGCTGAATTTGTCGGGTAGCGTTCGCTCGGGTCGTGCTCGGCGCTCAGCTTGGAACCAGGAAATAACCGGCCCCTTGCAAATAGTTGCTCTGACCCTCGTGGAGCAATTGCTCATGTCAGAGCTATGGGAGTTCCCGAGGTAGGTGGAAAGCGCTTCAAGTAAAATACGATATGTCATGTTTCTGTCACCACCGATATGATTCAGTACATACCATACTTCAACAACAGGTGATATTATTCTCGGGATAATATCTCCTCTAACCGCGACAGATCCACTAGGACTAGGTAAGATATAGTAGTTCTTATCGAGAGGTAATGTGCTTATACTAAGCGTGCGACAGCTTGATATTATTCCCTGTACTTGTAACTTGCCCAGCCTTGTATATATCAACCTTGCATACCGACCGGACAGTAGTCCGATAGGTAATTATCAGCGAATCCCGGCTGTTATATGTTTATTATATTATTATATCATTTATATAGACCATTTTCTGCTGTCTTATATGCGAGGTGGTACAGTTCAAGCTTTAGGGACGACGGAAAATATGATAGTAGTCCCCGCCAACGCCCGACGGTCTTTGCACCACACACTGGTTTGTACTACCAAAGGCAATGAAACGGGATGAACAAGTGAAACTTAGTTTGAATGCAGTTGACCTTGCATGTCTATAAAAGAAAGCTCCGGAGGATTGTAATTGAGGGTCAGTTTTAGTGGGTAGTAGATATGTTCTGCAGCAGATGTAAGTAAGCATAGAATGGTTGATGAAATGTCACAAAAGCCCACGAGCACCATCAACAAAATAACAGGATTAGACAAATAGTTTTGATAGCTTGGCAGGGCAAGCCGCTGGGAGCTCTTAGCTTCAAAAGTTCCCCTCGGCGATCAAACGAGATATAACAGGGCCAAAAAAGGCAGCAGAACAAAGAACGTAAAGCTTTGGGATGTACCACTGCCCTAAATATGTAATCTACGGCTATGGTCCCCGGCCCCTGGGCCTACCAGCCGCCCTAGGGGAACTTTTCTTAAGGTGCCCGGTGCTCGGGTCTCGTTTCACCAACCTTACATTGTTGGAGTAACATTGATTCTTTGAAATCCTAGTTTTTTATGCATTTAATCCTTGGTCTATGTTCTCTTGAGCTGCTGTGTTCCGATGCGGCCGAGGCAAACCTACTCGAATGTTATAGCCTTCTGGTTTAATACCTCAATAGCTTCTCTCCTTTCATAGAGGACAAAGTTTTGGCGCCGTTAGGTGTAGTGTGTTGACAACAGAACGGGCTTGATCGAGCTTTACCTGGATACTTACCATAGTAAACTAATAGATTAGTATTAGTTATCAACAACTAGCAGTGTCTATAGAGAACCAAAAGAAATGCTAATTTACGATTAATGAAAGGCAGATCCCTACTTTTGCCAACCGCACAGTCCCTCTACGCTATGCCTGAGCAAACGGCTCAGGAAAGGGGTTGTCCATGGAGTAAGATATATTAGACATGGTTCCCCTCTTGAAACATTATCTAAAGCAAGACTTCTCGTTTTATTCAATCACCCCAATCCGTCGAAACCATGAGAGTTTTAAACCTCCTACGGGCCTGGGTTGCCCATGAAAGCCTACTCAAAGTGACCATCTTTATACTACTTCTTCAACTCTCCTTCGCTCAATCGTTTAGCAATGATGTGACTCCGGACAGTCTATCCCCCCGACAGGCCCATTTTGTCAGTGGCCCAATGAAGTTTGATAGCTCCCTAGGAGAAGAAGCTGCGCAACAAGTGATATGGTCCCAACATGGAAATTCACAACGAGCCACTATCCAGGTATATGTGAGCCGAGGGTTTCTGCAGGCGCAGAACACAATGCAGAATCCCACTCCGGAAGACGTTTGCTTCACCCTCTCGAACTTCAAGCTTATCGGCGATAAATACAGTACAACGAGAGTTGATTTTACACGACACTCGTACACCGAAGTACGGGTCAGCATCGATCTTCCAACGAAACGCAGTGCAGAGCAAGTACAGGCGGCAGTGACTATGAAGGCTAACAGCCTGCTGGTTGATATGCAAAATCAACAAACTCAATGGGGTCAAGAGTCCCGAAGGCCTAAAGCGAGCTTTGAGAAGGATGGGCTTTATGTTCAAGTCCTCAAGCATTATGGGAGTCAGTGAGGTGTGAGGTGTCTACTTGCTTTGACATTGTTCCATTGGATGTATTGAAGTTCTCGGGGTTTGGTGTCCAGACAGCAACTGTGAGAAGGCTTTATTTCGGGTATCGGTTTTACTTGTTTCGTCTTTCGTTTATAAAGAAAAAACTGTTACTCTCATTGCCATGTATCGTGCTATTTGATTTTTGATGTTGGTTTTATTATCAATGCTTTTTGATTCATACTTTAATAACATTGATAAACTAGAGTACTATGCTGGCTTATAGACAGAGACCGAAGATTTCGAATTCTTCACCTGAATCGTCGTCTACGCACAGGAAAATAGCCAAGAATCAGCCGTGCCTTCTAGACAAAGCTCGTACTACAGCTAACTTCTAAATCTAGTCTAGTTTCAAAAATTTTTATCTGATCTAGCTAACGTTCAAATCCCGGGCTAGACTTGCCTTGCCCGAGAAGTAGTGATGGTTTATTCTAACTACCCGAGCGCTCGGAGACTTTCAAATCTCAATACACCGCATAGATTGCAGATTTGCGGAGTGAACACCCGACGGGCTTTCAGTTCTCCCGTTGGAGATCTTTTTCGGAGACTTTCAAAGGTTTTCTTTATTGGTTCGGGTGGATAGGGCTCTGCAGAAATTTGCAGGATCGAGTCTAGTGCGTACCCAGAAGGGCGGGTATATCCACTTTTCCGTGGATCGGGCTAACGTTTCTTCATTTCAATATGCTCCGTATCCACTATAAAGAATAAAATACTAGGCAAATAGTACATATGCTAAATCAGGGCTGTCGGCTTTTGCTCTCCGAAGATGTGGAATTCAACGGTTTCTCAAAGTCATGGAACTCGATAAGTTGATGTATATAAGTAGTTCAGATACCTCGGACTATAGCAGATAGATTTATACTTGCTTTCGTTTTTATATCAGCATTAATAGATACTGTTTCTCAAGGAACACCATATAATAATCTTAACCAATATGAGCGTCACATTCGATGTCTTCCGTGGCTCCCCTGAGGGCAAGATTGTTGCCGACAAGACAACGCGCACTCTGGAATACAACGAAGTGTTCATTGAGACGACACATTCCGGTCTTTGTGGGACGGATGAACACTACCTGAAGTCAGGCCAGGTGCTTGGGCACGAGGGCATCGGCATCATCAAGGCTCTCGGACCCGGTGTTACCTCGGTGAAAGTCGGAGACCGTGTTGGGTTTGGATACACACATAGCATTTGCACCTCTTGTGATAACTGTGAGACTGGTAAGTGATTCTTGAACACCGACCAGCTCAACCGTCTAATATGGCCCAGGCTGGGACCAATTCTGCCGTAACCAGAAGCAATATGGCTTCCACGACTTTGACAACGGTACCTTCAGCTACGGCGCCGTCTGGGACGTCAACTGCGTCTACCCCATCCCAGAGTCGGTCAGCTCAGTCGATGCCGCCCCTCTCATGTGTGCTGGTGCGACTGTCTGGACTGTCCTGACTGAGTTTGGTATTCGCTCGACCGACCGCGTCGCTATCATGGGCATTGGTGGCCTCGGTCACATTGCTATCAAGCTTGCTGTCGCATTGGGCTGCGAGGTTGTCGTTCTTTCCAGCTCTGAGTCCAAGAGAGCAGAGGCGATGGAGTATGGTGCCTCCGAGTATCATGTCTTCCGTTCCGGCGAGCCTATCAAGGACTTCAAGCCTGTGAAGCATTTGTTGCTGTGCGGAAGTGGTTCCGTTAGCTATCCTTCGTAAGTTACCTTTCCAAACCTTGGCTTAGACAGGTCTAGCTAGTTTTTGAAACGGTCTATATATATCTCCAGGTCTTTGCTAACGCAAAGCAGTCTCATGCCCCTCATGGACACCAACGGTAGCATCTACCCCTTGACGGTCGCATTTGAGCCCTCTCCTGTACCCATGCTGGATGTCCTCTTCAAGGGTGTCCGTATCCAGGGTTCTCTGGTTGCTTCTCGGAAGGGTATCCGCACTCTTCTGGAGTTTGTGGCTAGGCATAAGATCGTGCCCACCGTCATGACATTCCCATTGACTGTGGAGGGTATTGAGGAGGCCATGCAGACTCTTAGAGAGGGAAATATGAGATATAGAGGAGTGCTTGTGAAGGAAAATTGATTACCGGGATACCCAAATTGTACTATAAGCATGATGTGTGATAGTAGTGTGAATATGGAAGAATATATATACCATCTCGTTTGAAAATATATAATTTGCAAGGACCCGCGGACCATGTCGGATACCGTAATATACTAGACTCAGCAGAGCAATGACTTCCCTGATATTACGATATCAAATCATATGTTTTTATTCTCTACATATGTAATTCAGCTACTAGCCTGAGTTACTGCTCTAAAAGGTCAGTTGTAGTTTATTCCGCTTGAGAAACATTAATGCTAAGCATCGCTATATCCCCTTACGTTTGATTCTCCTCGGATCGAAGCATTGGCGTCGAGTAGAAAAATTAATTTAATAAATGAAAAAAAGTTACCCAATAGAATTATAGAAAATAATGTGAATAAAATTACAGGAGGGTTTGAAGTAGATCATGAATGATTGGTAAACAAATGGATCTTGCCGTTCTGTGTAAAGGTGTGTACCATCTTAGAGCCTAGTAAAGAAAGAAATTTTCATCCACTGGGCCTCTGGCGCAACGGTAGCGCGTTGTAAGTTACACTTCACCAAGCAATAGCTTGTGAACTTCTTCTAACAAATTCACAGCGACTCCAGATCGAAAGGTTATCCGTTCAAATCGGGTGGGGCTCACACCTTCTTTTTTTCCTTATGCTTCTACCCGGCCCTAGTAAACCAGGACCGAGATGCTCTTTACCAATTCGAGCTTCGCAATTGAGAAACGTGCTCCTTCAAAATGTTTCATATCCCAATCGACATAGTTTGATCCAGACCTTGAGAAGGCTCTAATTCATCTCTGCCCCCTTTTGTTATGCCCCTCAATCTTGTACAGGTCGGTGCTTACTACTTAAAATCTTCACTTGGCTTGCGCTTCAACATTTGGTCGCTGACTATACTACCTACCTGAATCAGTGCTTGTGATGCGCTGATTTCAATCCCTCCGGATTCAATACAAGCATAGTATATATCATATCCTATTGGCACACTCCCTATAAAATCCGCATAGTCCTTAAGTTTTTCCTGTCTTGTATAGGCTGGCCGGTAGCCCTAACCACTTTAATTCGAGCGAAACCACCAATTGAAACCGCTTACCCCGCCTTTCCAAAGCTTTCTTACCAGTAATAATTCCCCGTGGATAATTTAAGACTTACATTGGGTATTCGGTGTCTACTCAGTTACTATTAGGATGCTGCTGCTGGGCCAGGGATTCAGGGTGACAAGGGAGGAATCTATGTTTTTACATCCTGCCTTGCGTTGCCCTACATATAACAAAATATTTAGCCATTTGCCACCGGCAAGGGCCTCTGGCGCAACGGTAGCGCGTTGTAAGTACCAACTTATCAAGACTTCTCAAGTCTCTCTGTTCTAACAAATTATCACAGCGACTCCAGATCGAAAGGTTATCCGTTCAAATCGGGTGGGGCTCAATCTTTTTCTTTCCTTTTTACTCATACAAAAACAACTTCTATTCCTCGCTTAGATCACAGACCTGTTTTGACACTCTCAACATCTGTCGGTCAGTTTTCTTTTCGGGAGGTCCGTTTGATTATTCCTTTTATTAATGGAGGATCTCGTACGTAGCCTGTCAACTACGGGAGGGTATGTAGCCCGGAATCGCTTTGCTAGGATTTCTTAGGGTCGGGTGCGCAGCACTGTCTTGCTTCTTTTAACCGTATATATGTAATTTAGCAGAGAGCGAATACCAAACTGGGCCTCTGGCGCAACGGTAGCGCGTTGTAAGTTCTACTATTAATACCTTCTGGCCTACTTTACATATTCTAACAATATCATCAGCGACTCCAGATCGAAAGGTTATCCGTTCAAATCGGGTGGGGCTCACATCTTTTTTTTTGTATCTCTTTTACTTCCTTTCTTTTTTGCTATGCCTTCCTTTCGACATGTTTCTTTGTATACGCTTTTTCAAGAGAAATGAAACCAAAATCCCACACACTCTGATCACTCTTCATTCACCGTGCTAAGATCACTACAGTAATTGGCTCGTTGCTCGGTGTTCACCAATCACCCAACCGGACAACCAAACCTGCGAACACGATAGCCTAAGGCAGTGTGTTGTACCTTCAATCCATAATGACCGCTTCTGAAATCTACTCTTGAGTGCTGGACTCATACTATGGCCCTAATATTCACATTCTTCCACAGATGTCTGATCGCCAGCTCCGTCCCTGCAATTTTCACGTCCCTCCCCTCTTGTTTCATTCTCTCACGGTCTCTCTCTTGAATTTTCCTTTTACTGAGTATTTGACAGAGGAACTCTATGTTTTTTATAATTTGCGGGGTCTTCCGTGTGAAGGACAGATCTTGCGCCCAAGCCTGGACTACTGCAATTCCCGGGTGGTTATGGTATTTGCGTCGCGTTAAAAACCTGGGTTTGGGTAAGCAATGGCCGACTGATTCGTTGCTTTGGACTATCAGAACTCACTCTTGAAGATGTGTCCAGATATTATCTTTTCGCGATGGCCATTTCTCAGGGATGCCTATGAAAACAATGCCCCCGAGGGGCCAGTTCTCCTTTAGGCACAGCCATAGAAGCCATGTTTCATCAGCAGGCTGGGGTGGTTTCCTATACGGCTGAAGCTTTTCTGAGCTCCAATTGAGCCTTATTAGCTCGAGCCCCTGGCCAGTGAAGAAGCCTTTCGGTAATTCACTTCCATCCTCATCTTTTACTTGGTTTTGTAGTGAATGAGACACTGCAGTTGTGTCTCTCCAATCCAGACCGGTCTCTGTCTCCCATAAGGTAACCAATTGTTTCCCAAGGTCTGCAGTTTCTTGGCAGTTAGGCAGATGTCTAGTTGGGAAAGTGACAACACCGTCGGAGTTCAATGCGCCCTGATGAACCAAGCAGGACTTGCCGGTTTCATCACGCAGATCGATACCGTCTTTCGTGCTAGCTCTCTGGTCAGTAGGGGCTGCAAACGAAAGTCGAGCAGTAGACACCACCTACAAGAAGATATATTTTCTGGGGGTATGGGATGAGTCCTGGCTGGACTGAGGGGCGCGCATAATGAATTTGAAGTTTTGCCCAGATGGGCTTTCCCAGTAGATCCCGAAGGGTGAATTTTTCCAGACGAAAACCTCTCTTTCATTCCAATGGCCTCGATAAGTCGACTTGAAGCGAATGAAACCATCATTCGAGAGCTCATTAGATATCCTAGTTGAATGGATCCATTCCCAAAATATAGAGTCTTTCATTAGTTGCATGGTAACCGCTTGCTCAATGCTACTATATGACGCCCAGTTATTTGACTCTAGCTTGTTCGTGGCGAGAACTTCACGGAACTCTTTCAAAAGAGCACCTGGTAACTCGATCTCAGCAACCTTGTCGCTATTATCCGCAAAATGCCCGAGACTGATTGCTGTAGTTTTTCGTATCGAAGTGATTTGCTGCTTGACTGCACTAGATTGACTGCTGCACTGTTGTGATGATGTCCATACCGCCTGTGTAATAGCATCCACAAATAGCGACTTGCCTTGGGAGACAGAATTTCCCCATAAAAACCATTCGTTAACGTTGTCGCGACCAATGTGCACATGCAATTCGGGAATATTCATGCCCCATAGTCTATATACCTGCTGCCTTCGTTTGTCCGACAGCTTTTCGCCCACAGCAAACCCGCTTAAAACGTCTCTATCCTATGGACCCGTACCATGCTCCGTCAGCCATGTGCCACGGAGCCAGCACCTAACAGCAAGGGTGGGTAAGCAACTTACCAATTCCTTTCGTATTGCTACGGCAATCCTGGGCCTTTTTCGTATAAACAATTGCGTCGGGCTAGCGTTCGGCCGGTCAGCGTGAAGTTTAGCCTTCAGCCGACTAAATTGCTCATAGAATCTCTGGCCATGGAGTATATCGTCAACTTTTTGCTTGACATGCTCACACCATTCCTTCTGACTTCCCCCTTGGAATTGTTCCACAGAATCCAGAAAGACCGTTATAGTTGACAGTAAAACCCACTAAGTCATGTCTAAGACAATGAGGAATACGCTGGGGTTTAATGAAAATCGACCTTGCCCTGGATGAAAGCACGGAATCTGAATGCCGTGGAATTCCTCGCAAGAGATTAATTCCAATCGCCCCACTCTGTCCCAAAATTTAGACGGCCCGTGATGAATAGAATTGAGTGAGAAACCGGAAGCTATGACAGCAGATGGTTTGGCAGAAAATGTCAGCATGATTAGAGGTTTGACTGCCATAACATACTGCTTTAACAAGCGAGCCGCTGCCAAGAGATCATCCCCTTCTGCTTGATACCAGGGGCACAGGTCGACAAAAGGGAGTGCACCCGCTGCTATTAGGTCACAAAGGTATTCTCTTTCAGGTCTCTTGGACTCCTCCCGGTTCCAGAGTCTATTGAGAGATGTCCTCAATAAATCTGCCGATTGACTAGGACCAGTGTAAAAGGGCCGCTGCTCCTTATAACCCTCACGGCTATTGCCAGCTCCCACGGTCAGTAGGAGAACAAATCTCCCACGCCAAGCTGAAGGCATGGCCTGACGAAATACCGTATCCCTTAAGGAATTAGGAAAGTCGTGGGAGCGTCGCCTAAAGAAGGAAACTGAACCTTGATGATCTCTCGCATAGCACTGGATAGCATCCGCCCAGGAGGCAATGGAAGGTTCTTGCGCAAGGGGATAGAACTCACAAGGGTTCAGTCTAGAGATAGTCCTTGTACCCAGGGCGTCGAATTGTTGCCAATGAGATTCATGTAGCTTTAGGGTCCAGCCTTCTGTCTTGGTCAAGACTTGATTCAACAGATAGGGTAGACCAAGTAATGCAATAGCTGCCTGTTCGGCGACATCATTGAAGTCCTGAATCTCCCGGAGGCCCTTAATTTGCTTATTTGGAAACACATAAACAGAGGCTGAGTCGATTACCGTTGGGAAAGTTCTCTCTAAGCCCGTGAGGAATTTCGAGAAAAAACCCGTTCGTCGTGTTAATAGATCCTCTCTGTGTCGTTTGATCGCACCTTGTGTCCGTGTTGTTCTTCCAACATATCTAATATACACAGTCTCATCAGACTGCATACCCTTGATGCTACCTAACCATATTGTTGTCTTAGCGTACTGCATCCCGGTCCCATGAAACTGTGCAATGACCTCCTGAAGCTGGTCTACTTTAATCTGAAAACAACGAATGTATACAGTTGTCTGCTGTAGGGTCTGGTCGCCTAGCTCAGTATTCTTCAGTCGGAGCATATCCTGTAATTTGCGGTCCGAAAGCTTAAGAGGCGTGTACAAGAGGGTTTCCCAGGAGTTATTGTCAAGGCTATTAGGAAGACAATGATTAAGCAACTCTGGAGTGATACTTTCGGTGTTTACTCCACCTTCTGCAAGACGGCCTAATAGCACGCTCAGCACAGTCTTCTGGAGTGTATGGACATGTTTGATATCTGAAAGTTTGGTCGAAGTATCTGAATGTCTTCTTTTGCGTGCTCTATGGATACGCGTGCTGTTATTGGATGGATGCCGCTGGTGCTCCATTGCGAGACAAGAGACCTAGGTCGTAGGATAGTCGCAGTTTGGGAACTAGAATGATCTTTGCCACGGCCAAGACAGAGAGGAGCTGAGTCGATGATGCTAAAAGATGCTGTTGTTAAAACTTCATCGATATAGACTCTTGCTTAACTTGTGATATATGATTGGTTAAATCAGTTTGGTTGCCGCGGTTGGTGTTGGCCTTAATTCATTGTGTGTTGCTGTAGGTAACAGAGGACAGTGTTTACATACTGTTCTAGAACCCTTATTCGTTGCACATCATATCAACTCACCCCCAAACCCTGTAAGGAACATTTCTATACGCCATATGTCCGGTGGCAAGCATAACAAGCATGCACGGAAGAGATTGAAATTATAGCTTTGCCAGATAAGAGGAAACGACATAAGAGGTGCTGTTACTCGATCCAAACTAAAACCGTACTAATCTATTCTGATTAAAGCATACTCGTTCAATTACCCCCATGAGAACCACGTCTTTCAAGTTATCTCCGACAGTCTAATGTTCAGCTATATTCCAGAACCTCAACAGTCCTCGGTGGTATGACTTCCTTCACCTCACGACGCGGAAGGACATCCACCTTCCCCACCAACTGCTCCCGGATATGGTCATTAAGCCAATACTTCCTCAAAACCAACGAATCAATCTGACTCGCGCCAGCAATTCGTCCCAAGCACCTTCCCAGCCCAGCCCCACACCCGCAATGAAAAGGCTGCACCATTGTCCACTCGGTACTCGGGTAAAAGAAGGTCAATTCGTCCCCGACAGCCAAAGGACGGTCATCCGAAACACGGACTTCGAATCTCGTCATGTCAAATACTAAACTCGGGGTGCAGGAATGGTTGCAGTAGACGAGGTCTGAATTTAACTCGATTCGGGAGTCCTTGCCGGTTGCGACGGAGGTGTATGTATCGTGATCGCCAGGGGTGGCGGTGGTGATTTTGGCGAAGAAGGCACCTGCAGGTAGAGAGATGAGGGATCTGGCTGAGGATGTGTAGGGTTGGTCGCCTTTCACTACTAGGAGGCGGTCTGGGTGGCTGGGTTGTTGCCAGGATGGGGTGAATTCGGTCATGGTGGGCTGGATATGAGGAAGAGTTGGGATATGGAGATGGATGTATAGGGAGGGTTTTGGGTGAAAAATTGCAGACAGGGAGACCGGTTCTTCTTATTTTCCTTTCTCTATCTTATTGTTGTATGTTTATCTATCATAGTTTCCTGATCATTGTCCTGTAGGTTCCTTCCGTTATGATGGATATGACGTGAATCTAGGGATCGAGTGCGAATCACTAGCACTGAAGATCCTGCAGTTTATACTTCTGAAGTGGAC